AGTTGTTGCGAGGACCTTTCGGAGTCGGAAGTCCTCTGATGTTTGTTAAATGTTCGTGCAGAACTTGGTCAAGGCATTCCTTTTTGCCCTACGCAGTTCTTTGTTGTACTGCCTAAGGTTCATATTGTACGTCTCGCAGGCTGTCTCCGTGTTCGCTTTACTTGCGAAATTTAAGGCTTTTCGGGCCCTGGTCTTAAAGAGCGCAAGTGTTTGCGACCACAATGGTGGTTTCGTTGACTTGCTTTTGCCCGATCTGCTTCTGGGACAAGCTTTATTGAATGCGCTGGCGCACGCCGCCGTTAGCGTGTCCACCATGGCATCCAGGTCGTCCCTACTGTCAAAGTCCCTTGCTGGAGGTTTCCCCAAGGATCTTTATAGTTTTTTTTTATATAACTCCCAATTCGCTTTTCTCGGGTTGGGTACTGTTAGTCGATTAAAGTTCTCAAAATTGACCACTAATTATAAATATCGATGGTCCGAGAAAGAGCGTTTCTCTAGGACTCCCCATCAAACAATCTGGTCAGCTAGGGAGTCAGAGTAAGAGTAATGTCAAGTACTTCCCTTCTGTTCTTGACTATGAAGGGTGGTTCTGTACCCCTATTACCCACCAGAAGATTGGAGCCTAGAATAAAATCAAAGATTGACTCACCCTCTCGTTCGTGTCAGTGCTTCCCCACTGATGATGCCTCCAGCCCGAGGCAGATGCCACTCGTTCACCACTCGTCACCAAAGGTCCTTGGGGATGAGCCCATCTTTGGAACCCTTGTCCAGGACTCCACTTCGTCCTTTTACTTCGTCACTTTGGCGACCGAGGGGTTGGACGGCTGCGGCTGGGCCCTCCTCTTCTTGGCCTGGGGGGCTTTTTCCTCCGTGGACCTTTGCCTTTTCACGGTTTGCGCGATCTCCTTGGCAGGATCTGACCCAGAACGTTTTTTCGGATACAGCCTCACACCCGCCTTTTCCGGTTTAATGTCGGGCAGGACCTCCCTTGCCCAGGTTATAATCTCGGCCTGGTCCGGATTGGCTTCGGCCGATGGGTCCGCCCTCATTAAAGTGAAGGCTGCTCTCCTCCTATCTTTATAAGAGCACTTTCGCTGCGTCGAGTAAGACGCTCCCGGACCAGGGTTCGCCTTAGGGGCCCCGCCGGTTGGTTTAAAAGTTGACCCTGGGGTCTTCCTCTCCACGCCGTTCGGTGGTCCCATGGCTAGCCCCGTTTGGAAGAAGAAGCCTTGGCAACCTCCTCCGCACCGGCGCGTAGCGCTTTCAGATATTGCCCCTCTGTGGGGGGCTTCTCCATCTCAGCAACTCCTTGGCTTCTGAAGGCCTTGGAGTTTTACGGGTCACTAACCCTATTTCCGGACTTTTTTAGGGAGTTCCGTTCTCCGCTTTGGTTTTTATTTGGTAAGGTAGTATTCATGTTTTGGTCCCACGAGTACGGAGGTAGAGTTAAAATCTGGGAGGTCGGCCGGTCCCACAGAGTTCGCAGTCCGGGCCCCCCCTTGGACACGCCTCCTTCGGCATATGCTGTTCCCTTGGATTGAGGTGATTTAAGGAAGGGAGTGTTCTTCTCCCCGCCCCCGCCCTACAATTAGCCACCATCCTCGGCAAAGACATGACCTTACCGGGACCTGTTTTCAGCCACCCATTACGTTTATGCGGTTTCTCAACTGTAATTCCGCGGTGCAGCAGGAACTAAAGATTGTATATAGGGTGCACTTGGTATTTTTTCCGGCCTTATTTTTTGGTTCGAGCTCAACCTTAAAAAGGGGCTGCGGCTTTCAATCCCTGTTTAGAATATTAAAGAGTGTCTTAGTGCAAAATACCTTCGCTTGTAGCGCCTTTTTAATCTCTGCAGGCGTTACGTCGGACTCTATGCTCTTAAGTTAAGTCTATGTGATACGTGCTGATATGTGTAGTCTAACTGATATGTGTAAAGGTTGCAGAGGGTATAATAAATTTGGTCAAAAGTGTGCCACGCAATGAAGGAGACATCTCCGACCCTATAAATTATAAATATTCTTGATCTGGATCACCTCCTGAGTTGATATGAGCATGTCGTTCTGTCCGTCTGTCTGTCTGTCTGTTTGAATTAGTCTCTCAGTTTTAAAGCTATCGACTTGAAACTTTGCACACTTTATCCTATAGCCGCCAAATGACTGAACGATCGGAAATGGTGTTTGGTAGAAATACCAACTTTGGTATTTTTTAAGTTCGAAGTTTGTGTTTTTTTTTTTTAGATTTTTTATTGTTATTATTTGGTTATATATATATCATATCAGGTTATAACTGCAAGGGTGTATATCAGGTTTTAACTACAAGGATATGTCAAGTTCAAGTTTGCTTTCCTTTCTTGTTTTTTTATATAAAAATATTTTTTCTATAAATATACCGAACTCACCGAAATAGTCCCATCCTAGCACCAAGCTTTCCTCCATGCCTGGAATCAACAGCAAGTTCAGAGTCTTTATCTTGTCACCGAAGCTTATGCTTGCCTGGAATACGGTTGCTCCGATTGGGCAACTTCATCAGCTTTCTATCACGATGCGATCCCTGGCGGCTTTCCGCTAGCACCCACGAGATAAAACTCGCGGTTGCTCCTATGTCTTCCATGGCCTCGACTTTTGCTCTTCCGACATCAACTATGGCCAAATATTGCCGCTCGTCTCCTGACACTCCTCCGATTAGTTTTGAGAGGCAGCAACGCGCGATCCTTTGCTGGGCCTCACACTGCCATCTCGGCATCCATTCTTGTCCTGGAGCGTTATGTTGCTCCGGCGTGCCTTTAGATTCGTCTAGATTCATCACCTCCTCTATAGATGCACATGCATATGGCCTCATAAGCATCTGCGTGTTTATGAACATGCGTGGCATGCAGTTCTCTACGAACTGCAGTTCTAGAGTTTACAGAGTTTCTAGGTTTGTTTGACAGAATTTATTGTTCGACGTGATTACCCAAGCCCAGAAATAATACAAATAGCATACAAACTTAATGAAAAACTTTATTTTTAGGCCTATTGATTGACTAGAAATAACTCTTGGCGAAACCGCTCGGTCCCCCTGCCGAGTGGGCAATTCTTTCAATATGCACACAGCCCAGGCATACGCGAGGGAGGACCCGCTGTCTTGGCTACCAATAGGCATACCGCCCGGGGAGGATCCGCTGTCTTGGTGCCTGGCAGCCGGACAAGGGCACTAGGGCCTTCCTGCTATTCGGGACACACACTCGGCTTATCTGCCGCTGGTCGTCAGCTCTTTTTGAAACGCTCCAACATTTGAATGACGGACTCTTCGAAAGAAGAGTTAATCCATCTGAATTCTGCTCCTGTCGTTAATTTAGCTCTCCAGCATTGCGCCACACTCCTGTTGGCGAGTCATAGTCACCTCTGCTGTTGCTATGCAGGGCTCCGGCGAACTTCCAGAGATCGCAACGTCCTGCGCGGTGGCGCTGCCCCCTTACTGCTCCTTCTGCTTCGCGGCTAGGACTTTTTCCTTTGCTTTCCGCCCATCATCCAGTACTGACCATTATGATACTCCCTGCGCTTGACCGATTTCGCACCCCCTCAACCCCTCTTTAAGGTTAAAATGAGTTTGAACTTATTTTCCAAATTATGAATTCAAATCTTTCCACTACGTGGATAAACGGCACTCATCTGATCACTTTCTACTTATAGTCGCTCCTGAACGTTCATCGCCTGAGTGAACGAAACCTGGAAACTATCCTACATATCGAAGAGGCTATAAGCTGCGACTGTGACTTCAGAGTTTCGCTGAATACAGTAACCACATCTTGCACCCTTATCTGCATTGACTTCACATATGTATGGACGTCTCACCGGAGCCAGAAGACAAGCAATCCAGCTAAGCGGACTTTTTTTTTTGAGGAGGGAATTGTTTACTGGAATACTGAGCGATGATCGAAAAGAAATACTTTTTAGGACAGCTATATCGACTCGGAAGTGGATGCTGATCCAGTGTATATTCTGGATACACTTTATGGGGTCAGAGATGACAACTACAGTATACACTTGTACTCTACGAGTACCGGGTATAAAACCAGAAAGGAAAGCTAACTTCGGACGGAACAGATATTTATCAGAATTTAATTTTAAAACTAACTTATTAATATAAAAAATTGTTAAATGCTTAAAAACAGTTGAATGGCACCTATAGGATATAGTCGGCTGATCCCGGGCTTCCTACTTATATATGTTTTGCGAGCAAAGGAAAGAAGGGTGTAAAGTTTAAAGTCGATAGCTTTAAAACTGAGAGACTAGCCCTAGTTTTCTTTATTAAGAATTTAAAAAGGCTTTTATGAAAAGTCCATTGAAACTGTTTCAAAATATTATATATATTTTCATTAGCATAGCTGTGAAATCATTATATCATATATTTCCTGTGACAATCTATTTTATGAAAAAATTAATTTTTTTAATGTCATTTTATGGAGATTTATTTAAATCAGTTATATGACTGCTATAGAACTTCGTATCGATAAATGCCTTACAAAAAATTATGACTCAGTATTAATTTGTTTGTATTTAATACTAGCTTGACAATTATTTAATTAAAATAGTTACCAATTATCCTTCATTATACTTTAAAACATACTGTATATTAATATGGAGACGGTGTTCAAAAATATAAAATTGTGCATTTTAATAATAGGATATTTTTATACTACAATCTTATAATAACCTTATCAATTGAGATAATTTGTTTAGAATAAAACTTTCGCAAAATGGGTGAAAAAAACTAGATCACGTAAGCAACATAAAAGATCTCGGCTTTTTCGACTTATGTACTGCCTGCAAAGGAAAGTAGCGTGTGTGCCAAATTTCAAGTCGATTGCTTTAAATCTGAGAGTTCACGTAGAAATATCAACTCATATCAACTCAGAAGGTGATCCTGACCAAGAATATATTTACTTTATAGGGCCAGAGAAATCTCCTTCACTACTTTGCACACTTTTGACTAAAATTAAATATGAACAAAAACAAATGTTAAAATTGATGTTTTTTAATTTTGTTTAGTTTTGGGAGTAACATATTGGAGTAACTGTAAGATCAAATAAAATTAAGTTGGTTGTTTTTTCTCGATTTGTTTTCCTAATCTATGTTTTAAGTATTGAAATATAATAATCTTTAACAAGTGCTGCTTTTATGACCACACTGATTTTGTATTGATTATTAAGTTAATGAATATTAGCCTTAATATATGGGACGGAGGTACCTCCTATGCAATGGCGACAGAATGCAGATGAAAATCTACGAAATGTGTAAAATACATTTTTATGCGAGGATAGAACAGATCCTTTATAAATGTTCTATTAAGTATTTATATTAGTTGTTTGTATGCGGCTATGATGGAAATAGCGTTGTCAAATATATATTAATTGTACTATACCTTAGTATTATTTGTAGACGAGCTGATATTTCTTTTAAATACATTTAAATGTACATACGTATTAGCACGCCTACTGACTTAGTTTATACAATCATTGTTTCGCAACAAAAATTATTTTTTGATTAATAAATGAATCCGCGTCTTAACAATAATGTATCGTTTATATATTCGCATATGAACAAATTTTCAATATATTTTTAATTTGTGTTATGTTATTACTTATTAGCACATTTACATATTTTTGATGAAAGGAAATTTGGGGCATTCTTTACTGTTGAAATATATTAGTGTTATCCCATTCAAGCTGGTTGAAATGGGCAAAACCATCCTTCAGAGCTAGAAAAAGAAAATAAAAATTAATAGTGTTAATATATATGAAAGTGAAAACTTTAGTTTACCTTCGTCCTCTTCAGATTCGGAATTTTCCGACTCAGAACTATCATCAGATGCAACATCTGTTTGCATTGGGTTTATAGTTATAGTCAATGCCGAATCGTCCCAAACCAAGCCATCATCAAGAATCTTTTAACAAACGTAATACATGGATAAACATTGGATATACATTTTTGAACTTAAAACTTTGAACTTATATTCAAACAAGAAAGCAAAGCTAACTTCGGGCGGAGCCGAAGTTGATATACCCTTGCAGCTAAAACCGGATATATATCGCAAACATCATAATAAAACCAATTAATTACAATAAAAAATCTAAAAAAAGTCGCAAGCTTCTATCTTCAAAAATACGAAAGTTGATATTTCTACCAAATACCATTTCCGATCGTTTAGTTATATGTCAGCTATAAGATATAGTCAACCGATCGTTATGAAATTTGGTAGATCGGATTAACTGACCAAAAATAGAATGTGTACCAAGTTCCAGCTTTCTATCATCAAAAACACGAAAGTTGGGTCATTTCCGATCGTTCAGTTATATGGCAGCTATAGGATATAGTCGGCCGATCCTTACGAAATTTGGCATGTCATAATATTTTGCCAAAAATAGCTCTCATGTCAAATTTGAACTCTCTAACTTTAAAAACACCAAAGTTATACCATTTCCGATCAATCAGTTATATGGCAGCTATAGGATATAGTCGGCCGATCCGGGCCGTTCCAACTTATATACTGCGTGCAAAGGAAAGAAGGGTGTGTGCAAAGTTTCAAGACGATAGCTTTAAAACTGAGAGACTAGTTCGCGTAGAAACGGACAGACAGACAGACGGACAGACGGACATGCTCCTATCAACTCAGGAGGTGATCCTGATCAAGAATATATACACTTTATAGGGTCGGAGATGTCTCCTTCACTGCGTTGCACACTTTTGACCAAAATTATAATACCCTCTGCAAGGGTATAATGAATTCGAAAATTTCACATAATTTAACTATTATAAATATACCAAACCTTTACTTAATAGAAACAGTTTTAGTGCAACTATGAGACAAGAAAAAATATATATCAAACGTACCTTTGGGCAATGCTGGTGACGATCAGTGTACTTCTGACTGTTCTTCAAACGGGCAACAGAAACTCCACACAGCAAAATAGCCAAAAAAACACTCACAAGAATTATAAGCATAGAAAGATGTGAACCCTCAGCTAAATAGAAAACGAAATATTCGATATTACAATTTTTTATTATTAGTGTGTGTATTGCGAAATTTACATGATAAATTTGTTACTCTTTTTTTAAAAACATTCTATTGACTTTTATAATGTAAGTTGATTAAAAACTTTTATAATGTAATTGATTTCACTTGACATTGAAAAAATAATGTTTGTATTTTTTTCGCGCGGCTTCCACTGCACACGTACAGCTCACCTCCCTTTCTCCCATCTGGGAGAAAGATGGGAGGGACGCTGGACGCATGACGTATCGCGGGATTATATCCGAAAGAAAAGAGAAAAAAATTGTAGAAGAATACGAGGAAGAGTGTTGCATACTTAGATAAGGCGTTAAGAATATAAATTTGAAAGTTCGAACATAGTTCGGATCATATTGGGCATATATCTAACACCAATGACTAAGGAGTTGAACCACATGTTTCTAGTCCTTTTAGTAGAATCATTGAAATTTAAACATGTTCTACAATACATCATTCATAAGGATGTCTAAGAAAACGTCACCCAGCATCGTTCTACGTGTTGTTTGTGAGTGCAAGTGAATAAAAGTCTAATATGAAAAAAAGGTACAAATTTGCACCCCAATTTAGTCCTATAACTCATTATTTAGAGTTGAATTCATTCTAAGGTATAGAGAAATTACATAGCCTGTTAAGAACCAGATCGATAAAACACATGAGCATGGATTAACGTTTCATAAACTAGTCAATTTATATTGATGGCAAAGCTTAACGGCTTCAATCTACACAAGCACCAGTAAGTTAGTTAAAAAAAGGGAAAATTGTTAATGATTCTTTAAGCAGTGTGAAAAGTAAGGGTCCAAGATGGCTTCCTCGAGAAACACCAGTAAACACGAACTAAGCATAAGTAAACGTCTTTAAAAGAAACACGTTGGATACTTCTAGTTAGGTAGCCGAAATTCAATTAACGATATCAGTTAGGAAATCCAAAAGTTTACTTTAAAAGCGAAAGTGGTTAACAGAGTCAAATGCTCTACTAATCTCTGTCAGCCGCTCCAGAATCCATCCATGAGAAAAGTTAGCTTCTAAAATTTGGTGGTAGAGGAGCGGCACTTTATGAAACCATGTTGGCAAGGTGAAATTATTGAATTAAAAAGGTATCCCAAATGTGGAGAAATAAATTTTTCAAAAATCTTTGGAATGGCTGACTGTTTTGAAATGCTTGAAATTAATAGCGTCTGATTAGCAGAGAAATAATGTAAGATTCTTTCCACATAAGGGGAAGTATCGAATTCGAAAATATTGGTAAAAAGAGAAAGGATCAAGAGTTTAAGGAGAAGTTTGCACAGGCCCTTGGCCCAGTTATTCAAAGCGCAGTAAAAGCGGTTTTGATGAAAAGGACGGATATTTCCAAGGCAGGAGTTAAAGAATGGATTTAAAGTGTAATAAAATGTAATTAAAGCGATATTTATATCTTAGGGTCAGTAGATCAACCCAATGAAAAAATTAAAATATTCAGTTTCATAGAAATCAGAAAGAAATCAACTTTCTGTGGAAGGTGGAAGTCGATGAAAGTATTGATTTCGATTGAAACCTCACGAGTGGGATGATATGCATTCTAAGGTCTAAGCAAAGTTCTTTATAGCATATTTCCATCTGAAGCGTGGTAAGTAATTAAACCTCTTTAGTTGTGGGATATTTATATCACACAGAGCTACCAGCTAGTTACAATCGGTAAAGGGCTAACAAAAAAGAAAAGCTAACTTCAAGCGGAGCCGAAGTTGATATACCTCTGCAAATAAAACCGGCTTATATACTGCGTGCAAAAGAAAGAAGGGTGTGTGAAAAGTTTCACGACGATAGCTTTTAGTTTGCTGAGAGAGTAGTTTGCGAGAGAGACCTGATCATGAATATATATACTTTATATTGGTCGGAGATGTCTCCTTTATAATACCCTCTGCAAGGGTATAAAAATAAGGCTACGAAGACAATTTTGTCGAACGAAAGACCCCATTGTCAACTCCTGTACATTGGAGGATTTCCAACCGGGTGACATCGTCCCACATTAAGGCGCTAAAGGCCTAGAAAGCTCCTAGAGATGATGGACTTGGATGGGTAATGGATGGATGGAAAGCTGTCCTCTTCGTGGTGCTCATTTTTAAAGCCATGTTGAGGCCGGAATACTTTCCTAAGCAATGAAAAAAGGAGAGAATATGCATCTTCCATAAAGCTGGTAAGGCCCAAACAGTCTGGACTACAATAGAACAATAATGTTTTTACCCTCAACGGCTAAATTATTGGAAAGGTGCCTTGCATCCCGAATACTGGACATATGGAAAAGTGGGTTTCCGTAAATCACAAGGAAAGCCAGAACAATTGAACAGAATAGTAAACATAATCCTAGAAGGATTAGAGGCCAAGGAGTATGTAGTGGCTCAAAAGTAAGCCTTACCGGAGCAGTCGCGGTAGGAGTGAGAGCAGCAAAACAGCTGTTTTTGTTAGAGCCGCTTATTTTGATCTGAGGCAGCCTAACTCGGGAGCGCGGCTCGGCGCTTTTTAAGGGACGCTTTGCCGCAGATAAGGGAGCGGAGTTGTGTCCATCTGGTGGCCTCGTGGTGCCCCCGATGGACGCGTGCAGATAGTGAACGGAGGTTCTTATTGAGTGCTTCTATTGGCTAGATGTTTTTTTTTTTTTTTTTTTAACTCTTCATTTATTTACAATCTGTTTTTATAAACAATAAGTAAATTTTATAATTAATATTAAATAACAGGAATAGCAGTTTTCCAGTGAACCCTGCTATTATATACAACATCGTTTCTGTTAATTGAATTTATCTATCTGGAAGATCTAGTATGTGGTATCTTTTTAGTCTTCTTAATGATAAGCTGTTATCTACTAGGCTTAAGGCTAAATTATTTTCATGATTATGGAGTCTGTCGATATATTTTTTACTAATTTTATTTATTTCTTCTCTTATGGTTGGGATATTGAGATCCTTATGGATGTTTGCATTAGTTACATAAAAAGGAGCATTGACAATTTGTCGCAAAGTTTTTGACTGGTAGCGCTGTAGTATCTCAATATTTGAGTTGCTAGCAGTTCCCCAAAGTACAGCTTTATGTATAGCGTATGTCCAAACAGGCTTTAATATAGCTTTGTAGAGGCGAATTTTGTTTTCCAATGAGGTTCCCGATTTTCGACTTATCAACCAGGACATTTTTAGTGTTTTAAGTCTGAGCTGCTGACATTTGGCTTTTATGTGATTTTTCCACGTTAATCTGCGGTCGAGATGCAAGCCCAGATACTTGACACAGGTACTTTGTGGAATTGGCGAGCCGTTAAGTGACACATTTGGGCAATTACCTGGTCTCAATGAAAAGGTTATTTGGACAGATTTTAGGGAGTTAATTCTAATTTTCCATCGAAGGAACCAGTCTTCAATTAGGCTTAGCTCACGCTGCAGAAGTTCAGAAGCTTCATTTCTATAATAGCTTGTAGCCAAAACGGCTGTATCATCAGCGTATGTTGCAACAGTGCAGTTGTTTGTGACTGGCATATCCGCCGTATATAGAGTGTAGAGAATTGGTCCCAGTACACTTCCTTGTGGGACGCCTGCATTAATAAGAAGTAACGTAGATGAATCGTTTTTCTGCTGCACGTAAAAGCATCTTTTATTAAGATATGATTTAATTATTAATTAATACGGAGCAGGTAGCAATTTTTTTATCTTGTACAATAAACCTTTGTGCCAGACTCGATCAAACGCTTGTTGAACGTCAAGAAATGCAGCTGTGCAGTATTTTTTGTTCTCAAATGCAGTAATTATATCATTAATGACCCTGTGGCACTGCTCGGGGGTCCCGTGGCCTCTCCTGAATCCGAATTGGTATTCAGGAATTATGGAAAGTTCGTCCAAAATTGGCAACATTCTCTTCAGGAGTATTTTTTCAAACACTTTCGAGAATATTGTCAGCAGACTAATGGGACGATATGATGTTAATTCTGTTTCCACTTTGTTTGGCTTTAGGATCATTATAATCTCTGCACATTTCCATTGACTTGGAAAGTGGTCTAATCTGAGAATCGCGTTGAATATAAGGGTGATAAACTGTATGAATTTTTTTGGTAAGCTTTTTAGGGTGATGCCGTTTATTTTATCAGGACCTGGTGCTTTTTTATTGTTCAATTCTTTGATTTCTGTTACGACTTCTTCATATTTGATGCTTTTTATAGGTAAGCTCATTTGGCAGGGTGACTCAAGAAATTTTTCTACTTCGGTCTCTGTTATAGAATTATTAATATCGTTGGGCTGGAAGACAGATTGCAGATGTTGTGCTAGATGTGAAATGGTATTTCGTTTGTGAACTGGTTGACGATAAATAAAAAACAAAAGCAAATAATTATAAATAAATTAAAAAATAAATAAATTTAAAACAACAACAAAAAGTTTATGTCTCGAGCCTGATTTGAACTCGTTTCACTCCGTACATTAGCCAAGCACTCTACGACTTGGCTATCCCGCATTCGTTATCGCGCGCAAAAATTCCTAAGTTTATCTTGTCGTGCTGTGGAACCCGAAAACTTTTGTTTCTATGAAATAGAAATTCTTGGTTCAGAAAATATTTTAAGCAAGCCAAATATTTAAGTAATCCGTAAATATATAAGTAAATCTAATAAACCATTAATTTAAGATGTTTAATATCAACAGAATATTTTAATAATAAGCAAAATATAACAAATATAAATATTGGGAAATTATTTGTTGTTGGTTTTTGTTTTAAAAATTAAATTTTTATCTTAACAGCACATTCGGACGTTGCAAGATATGTCTCGGTTGGGATATAAATAAATATAACAAGTATTTTCTTTATTGATTTATGTATACCATATATGTTAACATTTAAAATGCTCCTGAGAAAGCTCCATCGGAGTTATATATCTGACATATATTTTGTTAGTATTAGTACAGGTCAGGAGAAGTGCATACATATTTTCCACTTTATGAATACGTTTAT